CCTCCCCCAAGCAACCGCAGCAACCCCCCCCCCCGCAACGTCTCCCCCTTCAGCAACCCTCTAAGGTCAAGACGGCTGCCCAGGTCCACCCCAGTGCTCTCTGAGCCAAACCAACCAAAGCCTGCGAGAGGAAGCGCTGGGCTTCTGAGCACCTGTTTTGGAGTTCACTGGCCCAGGTTCAAACCTTGGCCCTGGTAGTTCACCAAGGAGAGCTCCGTGTCATCACCTCGCAAAGGGGGTGATGGCAATGAGCCCCGCCTCCAAGAGGGCTGGAAAGTTGGAGGGAGACAGGAGTGAACTGGGAGAGGCTCTCAGCCCAGGGCCTGGCCCCTGGTTTAGCTGGAGACCAGGAGCTCCTGTCTTCCTGACTGTGGAAGGTGATGAGGATGGGCTGGGAAAGACAAAGGCAGTAGGTTGCCCCTCTCCAGGGTCCAGGGAGCTGTGTGGACTGGGCCCCGCTGTCTGCCCAGCCCCAGGAACCTCACACCAGGAGACAGCGAACCCCTGGCACTAAGGGAGAAGCCATGCTGGGACTTGCGCAAGAACATGAATGACCACAGGGCGCAGGGCACAGAGGCCGGGCCTGGGGGCAGGGGCACTCCCGAGGCAGGTGGAGGAACAACTTCCCACAGGTCCAGCGGCCTCGCTGCCCTGCCTCCCTCCCAGGTTTTGGCCAGCGTCCTGGGAGATGGCGGTCACAGAGTTGTTGACCGTGCTCAGGAGCTGGGGGAAGGGAAGGAGGCCTGCTCAAAGCCAAGGTCTGCCCTCAGGGGAGCAAGGGTCTGGGCTTGGGCAGAGCTATGTGACCTGGGGCCGGGCTCTCACCCCTGTAAAGTGAGGGTAATACCAGTATCCCATTGCTCAGTGTCAAGGTCAGCACTGGGCAGGAACTCAGCCAACAGAAGCCATTTTCACCCTCATCACGTGCCCTGAGAGGGAGTGGGCTCCCTGGTCCCTAAGATATGCAAGGGCTCGAAGGGCGTGAAGCTGGGACCAGGCCCCAAAGGAGGGGCTGTCTCAGCAGGAACAGACCAAGGGACAGGCGGAAAAGGGTACAACCTGACCCCAGAGACGGTATCCAAGGTGGAGGCAGAGGGCCAGGTAGAGGGCCCTCAGGAGTTGGGAAGGGGCAGACACAGCCCACCCCCATCCTCAAAACTCTCAGTCCTGTGCAGCCCCTGGGGTCTGAGCTTTGCCTCCCAGGGGGTCTCAAGGCAGCTGGGCCCCTGGAGAGGTTGTAGGCTCTGCCCTAGGTATCACACCACCCTCCCCAGCCACACGGCACCTGGGGGGCAGCATCCCCACGTTCCACACTCGACTCTGCGAAGGCAGCTCATCCATGCCTCAGTGTCCCCAGCTGGACCCCAGGGGTGCTACCACTAAGCTGCCACCATCTGAGCCCTGGGAGGAGACCCCAGCAGGCCTGCTGCCCGCATTCCTCAAAGCGAGTTGGAGGGCTCCCAGAACGCCCCACTCCAGCCTCACAGGCGGACCCTGAAAGCAAGGGGTCCCCGGAAGGCCGGGAGGGAGGGGCAGGCAGGACGCAGGACTAGGAAACAGAGTCTGTGTGGGCACGGGGAAGATCTGACTGCTGTGGGACAAAACGTGCACCGGACCCCAGCGCTCAGGCTCCCCACGCCCAGCCCGTGGCCAGGGCCCTGGCAAACCTCCCATGAAGGTGTGAAGACAGGAATCAAAACCTCCTGTGCCTGTGCTCACGGGCATTCAAGAGGTTTCCCAACACACACGGCAGGACAAGATCAGCCCCATCGGACAGACAGGGAAACTGAGGCCCCGGCCCAGTCACACATCCAACAATTCGTGGCTGCCTAACCATTGCTCCATCCCCCAGGGTGAGCCCCAAGCCTCGGTGTATCCCAACAAGTTGGCCCCCTCAAACCAAGAGGGGCTGGGAGTCTGGCATTCCCCTCCCACGGCCGCGGAAGCCCACCGGAAGCCCGGCACGCAGCAGGTGCTCAGGACATGACCCAGAGCTGCAGGACGGCTGTGTCTCTGCTCGCAGCCCTGAGAAGAGCAGGCAGCCGAGGCTTTCCTCGACTCCAGTGCAGGTAGATGAGAACACCTGGCTGGTGATGGGGCTCCCCCAAATCCACGGACCACCACCAGCCCTCAGGGGATTCAGGGGCGCAAAGCAGAACCTTGGCATCGAAAGGTCGCTGTTTCAACCTGCCTTTGGCTACCACCAAGCTCCAAGCACACCACCCCAACATTGCACAACTCTCTCTGCCCATTCTTTTTTCTTTTCATTTAAATATTTATGTATGTATGTATTTATGTATGTATGTATGTATGTGAGGGGCCGGCACTGTGGTGTAGCTGGTAAAGCCACCATCTGGGACACCAGCATCCCATATGGGCGCCGGTTCAAGTCCCGGTTGCTTCACTTCCAATCTAGCTTCCTGCTAATGTACACCTGCACCCATGTGGGAGACCCGGAAGAAGCTCCTGGCTCCCAACCAGCCAGAGTTACAGAGAGAATCTTCTCCCCAGATGGCCACCTGACGCCCCGGGGTGCCAGGGACCCTGGGTCCTCCTGGCTGTGCGTCTGCCGTCGGCCGTTGGCTGGGCCAGGCTGAAGCCAGGAGCTTCTTCCGGGTCTCCTACATGGGTGCACGGGCCCAAGCACTTGGGCCATCCTCTCTGCTGCATTCCCAGACACATTAGCAGGGAGCTGGATCAGAAGTGGAGCAGCCAGGACTCACACTGGTGCCCATATAGGATGCTGGTGCTGCAGGTGACAGCTTAACCTGTTACACCACAGCGCCCGCCCCTGCCCATTCTTCAGATGGGGAAACTGAGGCCCAGAGAAGGGTCTTGCTTTTTGCCTCACACTGGTCAGACCTGGAAGGCTGCACAGGCTGCTAACCCACTCCTCCCCTCGCCCCCAAGGATGCTTCCCTCTGGACTGGTCATCTGCAAATCCCTGCTGCAAGGTTTCAGTCCTGAACAAACACAGCCTGAGGTCATTTTCCTTCCTAACTTGAGCCAGAGGCCAGACAGGCTGCCATGCGGGGTGCCACACCCTCATCTGGGTGTGTGTCATCACGTGCCGGCCAAGGCCACTGGGCGGCTTCCCCAGCCTTGGTACCTCCGCCTGGGGCCCTGGGGTTGGTCACGTCTGGGACCTGGGGTGGAAGGGTTGATGTCTGCTCCAGCCACCTGCCGCCAAGGGAGCCAGGCAGGGGGCTCCCGCCTCCACCTCACATCCTGCCTGCAGCTCTAACCCCGCCTGACTCCCCCAACTCAAGGCCCCAACTCTGCAGGCCCAAGTACCATCCCGCCCACACCAGGAACCCCGTCACCAGCCCCAGCCACTTCGTCTTCCTTGTCTGCACACACCATCTATCTGTCAGTACGTCTAGAGAAGGAACAGCTTCCGCACACCTGTCGCCCTGGTCCCCAGGAGGGGCTTCCGGCTCCCAATGCACAACCTGTCCCCACCATCCCCATTCACCACGAGAGGTCACGAGGCTTGGAGCTGGGCAGACCTCGGGCTGGGATTCTTTCCATCTCATGAAACCCGGTCAAAATGTCACCTCCTCTGAGAAGCTCTCCCTGATTTCCCCAAGTACAACATCTGTTCAGTGACAGTCTCCCCCTCCCCCCCACCCCCCGCAGCAGGCTGGGAGCCCCTTCAAGCCCAGGACACAACACAGCCTCCTGCACCTGTGCTGTCAGCAGAGCAGGAGGGGCTTCCTGGCCTCTCTGTGCCTCTACAGCCAGGGATGAAGTGAGGTGGGAGAGACAGGTTGTGCAAGGGAGTGGCAGGAGGAGAGGCCTGGGGGGGCCTGGCTATCTGGTACCTGTGTATGCTTGAGGCTGTTTCCTCCAGGAACCCTCCACTACTGCTAGCACCATTTTACAGCTAAGAAGGGTGAGGCTGGGAAAGAGGAAGTGACTTGCCAAAGACATTTGGTCTCCCAGACCAAGCCTGGGGGCAGGGAGCCAGGGGTTGGGAGGGTTGGGGGAAAGCACGGGGTAGGGGAATCCCGGCGTTAATAGACCCAGCACACACCTGTGCCGGCTCCCAGCCTCCGCTTGGAGCCTTCCGAGAACAGGGTACTCACTCACTACTTCCTAAGGAAGCTTGTGTGTCCTTGCACAGCCCTGATGGTGGGAAGCAAGCGGAGCGTGAGTGCTCACTGCCCGCCTGGCTGAAGTTCAGGGCCAAGGGTCCCCAGCCACAAGACCAGCACCGCAGATGGGTCTGCCAGCATCCACGCGCCGGGCATCTGCTCCGAGCCCTCTGGGGGCCAGTCTCTGCCAGGGCCCTGCTGAGTTTGATCTGGAGCCCCCTCCATGGCCCACCCCACAGAGACCCTCAAGGGGTCTTTGCTGGCTGGGGGGTGGGGTGTGTGACCAGCCTCGCCAGAGCCCCTTTGGAGTCCTCCTCTTCTCCCAGAGCCACCCCCCTGCCCCGCTCCCTCCCTCTCGGCCTGCCCGGGGAAGGAAGTCCCAGGCGCGCTTCCAGGCGAGGGTCTTGTTACTGGAAAAAGCAAACGCTCCCGTGCACCTCCCCCTCCGCCCGCTCCAGTATAGGAGCAGCTCTTTCCCAGGGAGCGCACCCACCACGGCGAGGGGCTCCAAACAAAGGTCCACACCTGTGCCTGAGCTCAAGAGGCGGGGCCAACCTGGTCCCGGGACTGCAAGGTCACCAGGCCGGCAGCCAGGCAAAGGGAGGGGACGCCCAGACGCACCTGGACGACTTTCTAGCTGGGCTGCAGAGTATGCCAGCACAGTGGGGCGGGAGGTCTGACCTCAGAGGCAGGAGAGAGAACCCAGGAGCCCGGTCCTCCCCGCCCGGCCCGTGGCCTAGGGGAGACCCTCGCCTCCAACTGCCCCAGGAGGAGGACAGGAGCTGCGGGTGGCCGACGGCAGACGCACAGCCAGGAGGACCCAGGGTCCCTGGCACCCCGGGGCGTCAGGTGGCGCAGTAGCAGGAGGAAGGGCCTGGGGTCAGGGGGTCGGGTGGTGCCTACCCCTGGCAGGCCGGGTCCGGCTGCGGGAGCGGCTCCTCTGTCGCTGCAGCCGGGGCCGCCTCAGCAGCCGGTAGTAGTAGGAGGACCTCCCGGTGCTCTTCCTGGCGCCGCCGCCCGCGGACATGCTGCCGCCCGCCGGGCACCGGGCCGGGCCTGGGCGCGCTCACACGGGCCCCATCGGCCGCTCCGGCCCGCCCGGCGGGCGCCCCAGCCTTCTCCCGCGCTCGCGTCCGGCCCGCCCGGCGGGCGCCCCAGCCTTCTCCCGCGCTCGCGCCGCGGCCGCCGCCGAGGCCAAGGCTGCCCCACAAAGTGGCTCAAACTCCTCCTCCGCTCCCCCGCCCCTCCCCGAGCAGCCGGCCCCGCGGCGGGGGCCTGGGACCGGGAGGCCGGGCTGGCACCGGCCGGAAAGGCAGTGCGGGGGAAATCCCGGCCTGGAGTCGGCGGGGCGAGGCGGCCCGGAGTGCTCCCGGGGCCCCGGGAGGGTCCAGACCCTCGTGCCTGCACCTCGGGGCTCCACGTCCCAGAGCTGGGGCGCGCGGGGCACCCCAGGCGGCGGCGGTGTAGACCGCGCGCATCTGCGCCTAGCGCGCTCTCCAGGCGGGCCAGGCGCGCGCGACGGCCAGACGGGCACCGTGCTGTCGGGACCGGCTTTTATGGGACCTATCACCTTGGGTTAGGGCCCCAGTGAGGTTGGCGCACAGTCCCGTCCCCATCCCGAGCCCACTGGCGGGGAAAACGCGGGGGAACGCGCGGCTGGGGCGGAGGCTGGCAGTGGGAGAGACTCCCCTTTCCGTGGGGTCCTTGCCTTTCTTCACGGTTTCAGAAACGCCCCTGCGACACGGACTTTACACTCAATTACAAGCGCGGCCTGTTTTCTAGAACACACGACCCGGGGAGGTCCATAACGAACACCTGTGTATTCAGAGGCGGGATGTTTTGCACGCTTTATCAAGTCCCTGCCCCAAATCACACACCGCCCGCGGGGGCTGGGGGAAGGGGTCTCTTCCTCCCACTGGCCCCAGTGCAGGCCAGAACAACCCTCAGCCTACTGCCGGGACCAGAAACGGAGGCTGGGAGAAGACAGGGTGCCCACACCCTCTAAGGCCGGCTGAAGAGCTTTCTGTGAGTCACTCCCTCGCCTGCCTCAAGAACCTTCCATGGCTCCCCAGAGCATGCCGGCAGCAAGTCCCACAAGCATGCTTCCTTGGGAATTGGGTCCAACCAAACCACCGGGCAGCCTCACCTGCAGGGCGCCCCCACACCCTCCCCGACTACTCCTCTGCAGGCACAGCCCTTATACCCCAACACCCCTGCACCAGCGCCCACCTTCTCCATCCCTGCCGGTCCTGGCCCTCAGCCCTGCAGAGCACTGTTCTTTGAAATGACCAAGACCCCTGCCTACCTGAACTCCATCCACTCAAGAACAGAAAGGGAAACTGAGGCCCCGATGGGGGCTGACCTGCCGCAGGCAGCGACAGGCGGTCTCAGCCTGGGTTCACCGCACGCAGATGTAGGGCACAGGGGTGATGGGTGGTCTGGGGGTGCCAGAGGCAGTCTGGATGTCTTCCTGCAGAACAGCCAGACAGGGGGGCCCTGGCAGGGGTGGGGCAGTGTGGGCAGGAATCCAGGCCGGGTTTTGCACCTCACAGGGGAAGCCCCCTCCCAGGCTCCCTCCGCCAGGAGGGAGGGCCCCCAGGTCAGGAGGAGCCTGGATCGCAGCTGGAAGCCAGGCGCCTTCCCGGGACAAGGGGGGAGGGGCCAGAGGGGTGCTGCTCCTCCACAAGGGGTCTGGGGAGTCCAGAGCCATCAACTCCCCTGGCCCCTCTTCCTAGGATACTGGCCAATCCCAGGGGGAGATGGGGGCCACAGTGCCCCCTCCCCAGGACCACTGGCAGCTTCACTTTGGGATAAGCATTGCCTGGCTCATTTTGACAGTGGACCTTGGTGGGAGGGGTACTCTTCTAAAAATCTGCCTTGGGAAGACAGGGCTCACAGCCACCCCCAGTCCCCAGGCAGGCTGTGCACCTTCTTGGCATGGGGACCACCAGAACCCAGCTGGGAGCCTCCACATGGGGGGAAGGGGCGGCTCTGAGTGCTGCAGGCCCACACCTGGGAAATTTCCAGAATGAACCCCCCTACCCCCACAGCCAGTCCCACCAGTGTTGGGGGGGGATCTCTCAGGGAGTCCTGATGGGATGGGGTCAAGAGTTCTGCTCCTGGGCCTGGGGTCCCTCTGACGCAGTTTGTTTCCCAAAGCAGGAACCAGGCTGCAGCCACCCCTTCATGGGGTGGGAGACAATTTGCTCACAGTGTTCTAAGGGAGGGGGAGCAGGTGCTCTGGGCCTGGGGCTCCCAACAGGCAGCCAGGCAGCCCAGGGGTATGTGGAGGGGGGGTACAGACTGCATCTGGACGGAGCTGGGCTCTGGAAGTCTGGCATGGTCTCTGCTTGGCTTCCCAAGTCCTGCTCTGTGCCTCAGTATCCCCACATGCCAGAAGACAGTATGGACCCCCAACCTCTGAGCCTCTGGAGGGAAGAAAGTGAGTGGGCCAATCAGAAGCAGCTTTCCCACCCCTGCCTTGGGCTAGGAGGGCACTGCCCACCCCTAGGCCAGCTGAGGCCTGTGGGGAGGCTCAGCCTGGGGTTCCGTGTCCGAAGGGGACAAGGTAGGCACTAAGAGAGGACAGCCTGGGCTCCCACCCCTTCTCCTGGCCCGGGACCCCTGGGGTGGGCAGGCAGGCAGGCAAAGCTGCCCAGATGAGCATCTGGAACCAATCCTGCTGTGGAGCCGGCCCCCCACAGCCCGGCCATGAAGGGAGCAGCCGCCCTCCCTCGGATGCCCAGGCTGGGGGAGGAGCACCTGAGAACATACCCCCACAACCTCTGCCTCCAACGACAAGGGGCCAGAGGGACAGACCCCTTCTGCTCCCAACCATCTCACTGCCTCAGACAGCCCCCTTCCCAAGGCCCTGCTGATGTGTGAGCCTTGGGGGCCTATGGGGCTGAACACGGGGTCTGGATTGCCCACCCTGCACCACCTCCAGAGGGGCCCCCAACACCTCTCCCAGGTGCTGCTCTGGGTGTAGTGGCTGCAGGCACCAAGTGACCACAGCTCCTTAAGCATGTTTCTGGGTTTGGATGGCGCCAGGAAATCCCAGAGCTGACTCCTCCTCCTCCTCCTCCTCCTCCTCCTCCTCCTCCTCCCTCTCCCTCTTCCTCCTCCTCCACTTCCACCTCCACCTCCACCTCCACCTCCACCACCACCACCGCTGCCTTCACCTTGCCCTCGAAAGCCTCTATAGATGAACTGCCAGAGGCCAGAGCTGTGTCACCAAGTGGCCACCTCCCTCTGCAACTGCACCCCTCCCAGCCACCCAGCTGCTCTCTCCCACCTCTGCTGCTCAGGCTGCTGCCACCAAGTCGCTCCTTCTGCCCAGCACCTGCCTCTCCTCCCGCTCAAACTTCACCTTTAAGACAGTCTGCTTCCTACTTCGGGTCCACTTCACTGGTCAAATAATGGGGACCCTGGAGGCCACACAGGAGGAGCATGGGGAATGGACCCAGAGAATTCGGTCTGCCCTCCAGGCGGCCTGAAGACGACCCCCCCTGCTGGGATGGAGGTGGCAGGTGGCATTTCAGCAGGGCTGAAGGACCATCAAAGACCTCATGCATTGTGGGCCTGGCCAGGGCCCGGCCGCGAGTCAGGGAGGAAGTGGGGTGGGGAGAGGTGGACGCCACAGTTACCTCTGGACAGACCCACATTGCCCATCACCATGCGCACGTCTTCCTCCAGCGGGAAGCCAGATTGTCCACTCTTCAGCACAGCACGCAGAAGAGCCTGGCCAGCATCAAGGGACGGCAGTGGGTGGGAGGGAAGAGCGGCCACGAGCAGGGATCCTCAAGCACTGAGCCCCCGGGAGCCACCCCCAGCGCAGGGGCCACAGCGATCCGATCCCAGGCTGCCTCACCCGCAGGTTACACACTTGACCTCCAGGGCTTGTTTGGGGGTGGGGCTGGGATTTACGGCATTCCGCACGTCCCGGGAGCCAGGCCCTTTGCACAGCATTCTCCTACACCCAGTATCTCATTTAACTGCAGGACAGCCCGTGACTTCTCTTTACAGAAAACGCTGCAGGCAGAGGAGGGGACGCACACTCCCTAAGGCCTCGCACTAACAGCCCAGGGAGCTGGAAAGAGCAAAGGTCATAGGATTTGCAGAGCTGGAGGAGGGGCGACAGTCTAGAACTTTCCGTAGCAGCTGGCTTTGTCAAGGGACAGGAGGAGGCTGGGGGGGATAGGATTGAACTGGAGTCTGCCCCGAGCTGCACACAATGGTGTCTGGAGGGCTCAGACCAGTGGGGTTTCCTGTCTGAACGAGGCTGGGTGACGGGGACGGCAGCCCAGCACACATCCGCCTGGCGGGCCAGTCTCAACCTCTCAGCGTCTGCAGCCCTGGCAGGAGTGTGTGGGGCCGTCATGGATAAGGCCATGGTCTCTGGCCCAGGAGGCAGCCCGTCTGGCAGATAGATGACATCGGCTTCCGGCTTCCAGTTTGTGTCCGGGATGAGTAGCAGGATCCTAGCTGGGAAGGTGAGGAGGCTGAAGCCCAGCTTATCCTAGGGAGGCGCAGTCAAGCCTGCGATCACACTCACGTGTCCTCCGGAAAGCCACCAATGTCATCCTTTGCAGAAGACGGCCAGGGCAGGGCCTGGGTGACCCCGGGGTTAGAAAGCTCCGCCCCTCTCAACATGGGCAGAGCTAAGGGGTAGGGCTGGTGTGCACATCAGCACACACACAGGCAGAACTAGGGGGCAGGTCCAGGGTGCACATTTGTACATGCAGCCAGGGGGCGGGTCCAGGGTACACATTTGTACATGCAGCCAGGGGGCAGGTCCAGGGTACACATTTGTACACACACAGGCAGAGCTAGGGGAGGGTCCAGTGTGCACATCTGCACACCCCTAGGCGGAGCCTCAGGCACTCAGAGCACTTTTTATCAGGCCACCAAAGCTGGGCTGAGGGTGGAGCCCCAGGGAGAAGGCAGGGCTCTAGCGGAGGGGGGTGGGGGACACGACTGACATACTCATTCCCTGGGCCTCAGTTTCCTCATATGAAGTGGACATGGGACTGCTGTGCCAGCCCACCTCCCTGAGATTCCATCAGGATCTAGAAATTTCCCCCAGCCCCAAACCACCACCTACGCATCCTCTCTTGTCCTCCAGAAACCCAGATCAACGAGCAGCCCATCAGTCGTACAATCCTGGCGATCAGAGCAAGAA